CAAATTTACATTAACTGATGGATATGTATAATCAGTTCCTATTTCTTTTTATTACACTCGCTTAGTTTAGTTTCCCTCAGCACACATTAATCGATGGACTACTTAATTAGGCGTTAAGTGAGGTTTGCCTTACACCGGCTGTATAAATATTACTCCATTTCAGCATTTTTCAAAAACATCATTCTGGAATAAGACAGTAATAAGTTAAACAGTTTTATAGAATTTATATATTAAAATTAATTTTAATTAGTGCATATTATTAAATTAGTATTGGGCAAATATATAATACAATCCCCCGAAAAGAAATTTTACATACAGCTGCATTTTTTTGTACAAACAGCATCAGCTTTAATAATAAATATGCATCCACTGAATTAATGAGCAAAAAAATTATGTTTGGCGTAACTAATTTTTGCGCATATATTTTATGCTGGTAAGGAAATACCGCTTTTGTCAAAACTTTAAAAGATGAAGAAGATTTACAAGATGTCCCCAGACATTTAAATTTGATTAAATCTGTTCTTGATGGCTAGCTCATGATATCAATTATTTCTCTTTGAAACTACTATTTTATTAATTAGGAAACGTGTCATGAACCATTATCTTCACAAAATTTCCAGTCATTGCCTTATAATAACGTCCTAAATAGAACTAAAATTTCACAACGTGTATATTGTTAGCATTCTGTTTTATACATTGATGAATTACAGCAATGTCAGACTTATCACTCTAGACAAAACATACTCATATCGTCATTCCGCTTATCTGTTGAAAAAATTTTTAGATTTTTTAGGCGAAAATCATGCGAATAACATCAGCCACCGTTATGAATGTTCAAACTGAATTTTTTCTCGTATGAGAAAAAAATGTTTCCCACTTATCTGATTACTCTTGTTTTCTTGCTGTTAACAAATGGTTTAGCTGCATTTTAGTATATTTGAGATTTTTTTACTAGCATTAAAATATTGTCAGCTGTAGCATAGGATATTATTTGGCTTTCCTGTTTGTCTCCCCGTTACATTTTTTACTCCTGCTTAATAGAATACAGGGTGGAATATGGGACTCATTAGAACATCAGTCCATCAAAACTAACTGATAAATTAGCTAGTAAAAAATATAGGGGAAATTTATTAAACTTTCTACTCAATATTCAGTAAACTCAATGATTGAAATATTCCAATTTAAAAAGTATTACATTAAATATTCTAGTATTTTGATAATTTTATTTTTATCTTTCATAAAGTAGATGAAAAATAATAATGATATGCATCCAGGAAAAGTGACTACGGTCATAAAACTCGGCATATATGTAGTGTTTGATGAGTTATGTAAAAAATTAGAGTTTTAGGAGGGGTGTATTTTTTTATTAAATAATAATGTCAAGGAAATGACTATAATTCAGTAAGGGATAGATTCTTCTCTGATCGATATTTAAGTGCATAAAACAAATTTATTTATTTTAGAGAAGATTCTGCCACAGATTTTGCAACTGATCAGTTGATTCAGTTGTATTTTTAGAAATCTGCATTTGTTTTTCCACCAGGCTCCAAATGTGTTTTGTTGATGATAGATATGGAGACCTGGATAGCCAGAAAATTGTAATAATTTTTGAAGACATTGCTGAGAAAGTCGTTTAGTATGTGGTCTGATGTTGTCTACTTAGGAAATGACACATGGGCTCATTAATAGCAAAGTAAAACAATCGATTTCACAGTGTTTTTGACAAATAAGAGAGCCGGCAGATTAGCTTTCAGATTAGTAGCCCATGATGTGTTGATTTGCTACTCTTGATTTAGATTAGCTTTCAGATTAGGTACAGTAGATTGATTTCTCCAACAGGTGGCTTCGAAGACTGTACCATACCTGTTAGGGTGGGCGATTGCCATTCGATAACAAATGTGGGATCGGAATGTTGCCGCATCTTCTCCATGGATTTATGCAGCGGTCTTAGTACGGAGAGAAAAGCGAGATTCTTTAGTAAAGAAAGCGTGCCTCCTTTCGGACATTTTCCAGCATGGTCGATCTCGCCACTAATCCAAACGGCTTTGTCTACGTTGAACGATCAAAGCTAGACTCTTAATAGATACCTCCCCCTAATATGCCGGCTTCAATAGTACCTACTGCCACTACAAGATCTACGGAGGATGGCAAATGACATTTAATGGATGGCGGCAATGCTATCTGTGCGATAGTAGCTGTTTTGATTCAATGAATTTCTCCCTCGTACGTCTGGGAATCCTAAGCAAGGTGACCGCTCAGGAAAAATATTTGCTAACTACAATAATACAAGAAAAAGGTACTATACCTGGAAAAAAGTACTAAATTTATATTTGTTTTCGTTTCACTCTCTTTAGGGATTTACACGATGTTACTATCTTATCATGAAAGATGAATTCATCTAAATTATCGTATGTGCTTTAAATAACAAAAGAAAAATGATAAGACACACCTTGCTGTTATCATCCTTGAAGTTCATATACTTAGTAATTTAACATTTCTCTTTACATTCAGACACTTTATTTATTTTATATGCAATTTATATTTCATTTATTTAATATGCTAATTACTAATATTCTTACATACAAATACATTGGAGGTACTTATTCAGCAGTATTATACTTATTATTATTTATTTATTAGAAGATTTGCCAAATTAATTAGCTTTAACCACAAAATAAAATCTTTCGCTGAAGAAAGTTTTAATTTTTCCTTTGTCAACTTTCTTCTGACACCTCTTCCCCTACCACAAACAATTAGAGGGGACTTTCGGCTGTAGAATCATTAGGTTAATTGGAAGCAGAATAGATGAAAAATATGCAACCGCCTTCGCTGGGAATCGAACGAGGGACATTTGGAATACCGGCCCAGCGTGCTACCGTTACCACGAAGGCACGCTAGGGAAGTGGGAGAAATATCTTACATACTCCCCTTTTTTAAAGGGCGACTAGGGTTTTAGGGGACCTAGTCACCAAATCCTGGGTGCGGAGAATCATCATACATAACCCTTTTAGTTCAGGCGCCACTTATGAATAAGTGCTGAATAAGTCATTAGGTTAATTGGAAGCAGAAAAGATGAAAAATGTGCAACCGCCTTCGCCGGGAATCGAACCACGGACCTCTGGAATACCGGCCCAGCGTGCTGAACAACTACACCACGAAGGACGCTAGGAAAGTGGGAGAAATACCTTATACGGCTAGCCGTGTGTTTTGAAAGTTCCTTTACAGAACACATTACACTTACCATGCCTTCTATGGGATTCGAAACCGAGCCCAACGATGCAGCAGGTAGGAGGGTAATATCTATCCGGGCGGCTCTTTAAGATACAACTGATCTTATTCTGTAGAGACATTAGGATTTTTTGAAGCAAGAGAGATGAAAATTGAGCAACGCCTTCGCCAGGAATCGAACCACGGACCTCTCAATTACGCGCTAAGCGTGCAGACCACTACTCCACGAAGGCGGGAGAAATATCTTATAAGCGAGGCCATGTTATCTTGCACAGTAACATAATCCGGATGACTTCAGACAGAAGTAAAGATTTGCAAATTTGGAATTTAAGATTCAAAGATTTGATTTTCTTTACTGTGTAGTGTCTTCCGGTAGATCATTCAGGGCAGCTTTTAATGCAAAAATGCCTTTTCCAACCTGAAGTTGAACTGGATTCCTTCTTCTCTGAACACTGGTAGTTCGGTTCGAGATTCTTATCCCGCGAACGGGCTGGCTGCATAAGCGTTTTCGTAATTTTCCACATGTGCAACGTGTAAACGAGTTAAGTTTTCCTTAGAAACTAGTCCACGAAGACTTCCCCTCCCCTTAAGCATATAACTCTCGTGTGCTTTGTAGGCATCAAATAAACCAAACCAAACCAAACCCCAATAGATAAAATGGAATTTAAAAGTTTATTCGTCAGCTCAGGTCTGTGGTGAGATTTTACGTTTCATATCTGAAGATACTTTTCATAGAGATTGATATTGCTAAATTCTGATACCCCACGAGCATATTCCTTTACCGAAGCATATTCATGGAATTCTTACGCAGATTTATAGTATGTAACATATAGTACCAACATTTCTACTGTTTTAAATACAGAGAAATGCTGGTCTATATGTGTGGAAATGTGCATAACTCAGTTTAACTGCCTTAATGACCCTATGAATGAACCTAAAAATAACTCAAACCTGAAAGATCTAACATAACCTAAAATAACTAAAAGTTTGTAATTGTGCTCTAAATTACGCACAACGTTATTGTTTGGTTTGCATTGTGATTAGAACTTAAAGCGATTTCTTCTGCCATTTTAAGTAACTCTTTTTAACTGTTTGGTAGCATCGTCAGTTTTCGAAACAGCGTGATAAAATATTTTTCATGCAGGAAACTTCAATTAAAAATTTATTTGTGACTGTTTCCTAACCGAATACAGATTAAGAAAAAGAAAAATAAAGGAATTTTATTTCATTTTAAAAACTTTTTACTTAATTCATGATGGGTCTTTTTAAATTAAAGATATTATAATGTATATCCATCTACATGTTAGAATGTTGCTTTAAGTTTCAATAATAGCATTTGTGCCCTTCGATTTTAGAACTTTGCAATATTATTTTCAATTATCGTGCCGTAAGTGTTGTTGTTAACGCTTTTTTTAATATTAGTTTTCATCTTATAATTGCAGTCTAAGGAAACCATACTGGGGATTTATTTTTTTGGGGTTGTTGAGTAACTTTTCAAAGCTAGATTGCAAAATTTATAAATATGAAAAATTTATGTTTTTAAGAGCAAAAATAATGTAAATGCATTTATTAACATTGGTATATGCATTTCAGGATTTCTAAGGAATATTTCAGGAAGCAATATGAAGATTCGTTTCCGAAAGAAGCTTTTATTTTGACATTGGATATTTCATTCCATTTTTGGAAGTGAACTGCAAAAGATGGTGTATATAAAATCTTAATTTTATAAGTAATTTAATCCTTTTTTTTTTTTAACTAGGAGATAAATTCGAAGAAGCTAAGAAAAGAATGAAAAATGGTTACTCTAAAACCAGTTCATAATTTCTATGCACTGTGGTACAAAGGATGAAACCATTTTCGTTGAGTTTAACACCATTTTGTGACTTACATCGCCATCGAATCTATTGGTTTGTGGCAAACCTGTCATTAAGAACTGGTGATGTGAATTGTAGATGATCCGAACTAGAGAAGCAAAAGGTAAAGAAAAACCTTTGCAACATTCCTTCTCCCCTCCTTCATTTTACACCATTCCCCAAAGCTCTTTTTTTTTTTTTTTTTTTTTTTTTAATAACCTTGACGTATGCACTTTTTTTTTCACTCACTGAAGTAATTTTCTATAGGCTCATCTTAAACATAAAAGCATTTTGAGTGGAGTTTTCTTAAAATATGCTCATATTCTTCATTTCTTGAAAAAAAGATTAACATTCTTCATTTCGCACCGATGCAAACATTTTTAAGGGCCCTTTTGTCACCTAATATCTTTGGTTATCGTTTGAGTAATTAGACATACCTAAAGTCAGACACGATACTTAGAAATAGTCCAGAGACTTTTTACGATGCGTTGAAACTTAACTCTTTAAATAAGTAGCAAGCAAGCACGTGTTGAATCGATGATAATAGACTTTTTTTTTTTTTTTTTTTTTTTTTTTTTTTTTTTTCATTTTTAAGAACTATTGTTTGTATTGAATTCCTATGCTGAACAATATCACAGATAAAATAGGAGCAGATTAACTACATTAGACGAAAATATTAACTACTTAAAACGTATGCGTAGTTAATTACTTTATCTGTTGACATTTCAGATTTGTAAAGATAGAAGTATTATTATTTTTTTCTTTTATAGCTGTGTCATCTATCATATTAAATGTTCTCGGCTGATACTTGCTGAATCCTATTTGATAGCAGTTGAGCATTCTGGATTAAAAACACAGACCTCACCCAAGGAAAATATGGTTTATTAATTCGAATTTTGTCAGCTAATTCAGTTTGATAGTAAAGTTAACTTAACTTAATGTTGTTAAGATTAAATTATACTGAATTTCTTTATATTGCTTTAAAATTACAAAAATCTCATCTAGTATGTCTATGAAATAGATTTAAATAAATCGCATGGACGCGAAAAGTATAAAAGAAGAAGAAACAATTTTTGAGTAATATAAATTGCGGATACATAGTGCAGTAGAGCTGGAGCAAACCGCATGTATTCGTTACTGAGTAACGGGTACATCGTTTGACTCGAAGTACCGATTCGGTACTCACAAATTAATTTCGTTACTCGCATCTGTTCGTTACTCGCATCTGTCGTACGATGCGGTTTGTTCGAGTACGAATGATGCGGTTGCTATACGAATACGAATGATGCGGTTTTTATGCGAATACGAATGATGCGGTTTCTATGCGAATACGAATGATGTCGTTGCGTCACAATGCGCTCATATTTTTCATAGATTTTTGAATTTTTTTGGGCATCGGGCAAGTTCTTGTTTACATTATGTGTTTTAGTTGAAATATACTATTTAGTTGTTGATATTTAAGAAAATGAGCAATTTTGATAGCGTGAAGCGTTATTTTGTATTTGCTTTTTACTATTGCTATTTATGTTTGTAATTTGAAAATTTAGATGATTCTTCTTTTTTTTTTTTTTTTTTCCTTGAGCGTGCCATAGTCAGATTTTATTGATTTGAAATATTTATATACTGCACTTAGGTATTGTTTATATAAGAATATGTAGGTTAATATAGGTTCTTTACTTCCTTGTATCAAAGAAAATGGTAGTAATTATTGTAATCGAGAAAACTTTTGGGTATCATATTTTAACGGAAATATCCGTTTTTGACGATTACGGAATCCATGTGAATTATTTTTTGGGCTGACGCCTGTACGTACGAACACAATGAAGGACTCTCTCTCTCTCTTTTTTTTTTTCAAAAAAACTTATTGTTAAATGTAATCCCATTTACTCTAAGCTGATACTTATGACTAATGATTAAGTTGATACTTGAAAGGGATTTTTTTCGTGATGTGTAAGTACGTATGTATGCATTTTGCATAACTCAAAAACGGTTAGTTATAGAACGTTGAAATTTTGTATATGGTTCCGTTATAACATCTAGATGTGCACCTCCCTTTTTATTGCAATCGGTAATACTATACTACCAAACGTAAATATGTATATATATATATCAAATAAATTATAATTAAATGTAAAGTACATATATATATGTCCTTATAATTAAATGTAAAGTACACACACATTTATATATAATATAATATATATATATATAAGCCAAGTAAGGCGAAAAATAAAAGCTTTGGCTTTTTATTTTATTTAATTTATCACTAAATAAGTTACTTGACTTTTATTTTCGCAATCATTGGTTGTAGTCAGGACTTAATTTTTAAAATTAGAAGTGCTGGAGCTCTATGGAAGGCCATCAGGAAAGATGAATAAATAAATAAATAAATAAAATAGCTAATTAAATAAAAATAATTAGCAACTATAATATTAAATGATTATTTATTATAATTCAATAAAAATTTAAAGACAAATGAAAATTTAATTAATTCTTAAATTAATGATGAATAACTAAGTAATGAAATAAAATACCAGACATCGTCTTGTTTGGGGGCTGTGGCTAAAATTGCAATTTAAGAACTAAGCCGAGCATTAGCTAAATTTAGGTTGTTGATGAGCAAATAATGTACTGTTTACCAGAGTATAGATAGAAATTTGGTTATGTAGCTCATTCTTCTAAAACGACGTTTCGTAGCTGCCTTCCACCACCAATTCCCTTTTTTTTTTTTTTTTTTTTTTTTTTTTTTCGGTTTTTGTTTATTTGGTTACAGCAAAGCACACTAGAGCTATTGCCTACGGGAGGGAGGCCTTCGTGGAGGATTTTTTAAAGGGAACTGACTCATATGCAAGTTACACACGGGAATAACAATGAAAACGCCCGTGCAGCTAGCCGTTGGCCGGGAATTGAACCCCGGACCGAACTATTAGTGAACTTAACCGCTCGAGCTCTGATGGGCTCTTCTTTCTTTCATTCGCTGTTTGAAAAACGGTTGTTCACTTTACGATAAAGTAAGCACCTGTTTATACTTCAATTAAAATGGGTTAGACGATATGACTCTTCCTACTTTAATCTCACTTAGCTTTTGATTTCTAATATTGATTCAATGTTTTCTGTAGACAAAGTATTCTGATTAGAATAATGGATTTCAAAACATGTTCAAAAGGTGTGTATCTGAATATAATTAGGTTTTTATAACATAGGGCCCATTTTATTAGTTTCACATAGTTTCTAAAGCAATTGAACCACAGCATCGCTGTTTTGAAAGAAAGTAAAAATGTGAGAAATGTATAATGAACATTAATATACAAGCTTTATTAAAAGTAGTCAGCCTTTTAGAGGATTTTTGGAGCTCTGTGCATTTGCTCTGGCATCTTAAAAAAGTGATGTTCAATATCAACGTATGTTTATGTTCTCAAAAATACAGGTTTCTTTCAGAAAGCGACCTCTTAGAAGTCGTCAATAAATGATTCAGTATAGTTATTTTCTAATAGACCATAGAATAAATTTATTTTAACGTCAATTTAAAAATGGCTGCTTGTACTATCAGGACTTGTATTCCTCTTTACTTGCTTTGGAAACATGAACTGTCCTGACTCGGAACAGGGAGCTTACTCAAGCTATGTTCAATAAATTGTGAAGTAGACAATACACACAGGAAGGGTATACAAAACCCTTTATTTTTCTATCTTTACAGTGATTTCCGGAACTTCGGAATACAGAAACCAACCACTTGTGGTCTGAACGTAAGAATATAAAAATACTAACTAAAACTCTAACTGAAACTAACTTTGGATTAATTTACAAGTGCCTAACTTTAAGATTGGCCGTTATTTAACAAAATCCGTATGTAGTACAGAGAGCTGCTAAATCTATGATACGTTTAAAATTATCAAGAGGATTAAACCTCTGGCCTTGAAGGCAACCAGCAACCGAGTAAAACTACTATGGCAAGCGGCCTGCTTCTAATAACTCCTTCCTCTGTTTGCTTGGCAAAAAGCCACAACTTAAGTACTTGGCGTTAGCAAAACAAATTTGCATAAATAAGTTAAAGCTTTTAATTCTGGCCGGAAGTAGAAAATAAGAAGTGATAGCAAAGATTTAAAATAAAATAAACGTTATTAAAACTTAGGATCCTTACAGTACTAAGAGTTAAGAGCAATAAGACTCTAATTTTTCTTTCGAAATTAGCTATCATGCCAGCTGAATTGTTTTCTGCATAACCTTTATTGTGTATAATTGAAATATTTAGCTATGCATTCAACAAATATACAACAAATGTAAGACAAATCATTAAAAAAATTAAAATTTGGAACATTAACGATAATTTTTTTGTTATACATAAAATATTATTAATAAATGATGAATTTATATCATATTATATATAAATCAAAATTTAAACTCCTATTCCTTTATAATAAATTGAAGAAAAGCTATAAAGTGAATTAATTTTTAAAAACAAAACGAAAATTAAAAAAATAAATTTTGTCATATACCTAGAATCTAAAAATGACGAATACTGAATTTTACGACTCATGTGTGTATGGGTGTATTTAATTATGGCAAAGGCACACTATGGCTATCTGCCTAAGGGGAGATGCCTTCGTCGGAGGACTTTCTAAGGGAAAACTGGCTCGTATACACGTTACACATGGGAAAACCACGAAAACACCCATGTAGCCGGACCGTTCGCGGGATTCGAACCTCGGACCGAACTACCAGTGTTCAGCGACTTTACCGCTCGGCCGCTGGTGGGCCGTTTTACGACTCATATAATAATAAATGCATATTCATATTGTAACAGAAATTTTGTTAGAAGTCTAGCATATGTATAGTTATTTGTGATCTTTTAAAACTGTCGTAACATGATGCATATTTATCATTATCGTGAACCAAAACAGTATGCTTTACATCCTTACAAATATACGTGATAGATTTTAATATTTATTTCTGCATATACTTACGTTTCCCAAAGACACGAAAGCAAGTCAAGCAGATTTTTGTTGTATTAAGCAGACTTAAGTTCTCTGTTAGCTAGTGTAACATAATTTCGGATGTTAGTGTAACATAATTTCGGATTCTATGAGCCTTCCAGAATTATTAGCAAAATAGTAGAAATGTCTT